CAAACTTACAGGAAACTAAAAAATACTGAGACTTAGGGAGATGGAAGTAAAATGTGTGAAGAAGGTATCGGTTTACATAGTTTGTTATTTTCATTTGTCAGTAAACTGTTGTGGGTGCTGTCAGGAGATTTTGAAGACAATTAGCTTATTAGTCAGGCAGCTGTGTCCTCTATCCAACCAAAATGCTCCTAGGCTTGGCTCAGCAAATATGGAGTGTAAGAAATCATATTTTAGATTATTGTGAAAGTATGAAATACAAACCTTCAGAAAAGGAGAAAAAAAGATATAGGCTAAACTTGCACTAATGTTTACATTAGGAACACAGTATGCAATGCAAGAAAAACTGAGTGAGAATAGTAACTATCAATCTTAGTTGTAGGTCTGTTGATGCATTTCTGAAATATAACCAGTGAAATTTTATTATTTTGTGCAGTACTGCTATTCTGTACTTCATGTTGTGACACTATTGCTTTTAGTAAATGAAAATACCAGGTTAGAGATTAGGTGCTTCATCTAATACTAATACAGATACATACATTTCTACTAAAATTCAGAATATTCATTCTTAAAGACAGGCTTAATTGTCTAGTCAATGTTACGTGTTAGTGAACAGGTAAGACATTTAACAAAATTCAGAGAAAGCTGAAAGACACCCACTTATCTGAAGGTACTTTTTTCTGCTATTCAGGGCAAATTGAACATTATTTGAATTCTTAACTTCACTAGGAGGGACATTAAAAAGTACTAATCTGTAGAACCACAAAGTATTATCCTGCAAATTCAGTAGTTAAATTATATACTTGTGTTGTTGGATCGAATTCTCTCTCGATATCATTTGAATAAAGAGTACATACTATAAGTTGTTTGCCATGAAGTTATTTACTCATCACATATAGATACAATTGATAGCCACTACATATTTTATCAAGACACTGTGATAATTGGCACGTTGTTCCCCCCACCCCCCACCCCCAAGTAAAATCCGGCTTTAAGTCTCTGGGTGTAGTACTTCTGCTTACCATTCCTGTGTTTGTCTCCCCAACACCGTTCCCACTTCATTCCCGTTATGATGTAGTTATGATATAGCTTTGCTGTGTGTGGAGTTTGGCCCCACCTCCAGCTTAGAGATAAGCCCTGATTGGGCAAGAGCCATCAGGGTAATCCCTTCCTTCACAGGGATTTGTTCAAGTAACCCAGCCCTGAGCCAATCAGCTTTCTCAAGGACACGGGGATTGGACAGGGTTGTCTGTTACTGTCAAGCTCCAGACCTGGAGGGACCTCCTCAATTCCGGGCCTGGAGGAGGAAGCACGTGGCCCCTGTTACCGCTCACAGCCACCTTGTGTCCTTGAGGGAAGCTGGCCTGAGGAGGATGGTCCAAACATAGAGACAAGCTGAGAGATTACCCACCAAACTGACATGGGATTACAAGGGTCCACTCTTGAAGATTTATCTCAGCAACTTTCTGTTATGTAAGTCAATAAATCCCTTTAATTTAAGCCAGTCTCATGTGAATTTATGGTTACCTGTAAATGAAAGACAAAAAAGTCCTAAATTATATATCTACTTTCGATCTTCATGAAAGAATCCAGGAGAGTTAGTAGTCAATTTGAATGCAGTAGGAATGGGATTATTTAAGAAGTTTATTTAGCATCTCAGAACTAAGTTTACAATTGCCTTAGTACATTGTAGATACTTTGGGATTTTATTTTCTAATTGATTGGTTAATTCAACAACTTTATTATTAATATTAAGCATTCACTCTGTGCAAGGCACTGTGTATACGACAATGATAAACATAGTTCCACTACTCAGAGACTAGTTGAGGAGGCAGACAAGAAACTCAAGGAGGGACGCAGAGTTATAGCGGGAACTCAGAAAGAAGACAAAGGAGGGACACCTAATTCAGAATGATGGGTTGTTAGGAGAGAAGGAGAGGGATGTAAAGATAACATCAAAGATTCCTAATCAGGGATTCCTAACTTCTGTTTTTGTGCTGTGGACTTCTTTGGTGGTGTGGTGAAGCCACAAAAAAAAGAAAATATGAATCTTTCCATGAACTTTTTTTTTTTGCAGCTGGCCCATATGGGGATACAAATCCTTGATCTTGGTGTTGTCAGCACCATGCTCTCCAAAGTTAGCTAACAGGTCAGCTCGTTGATCTTTTTGAAATACCCTCAAATAGTCCAAGTTAACTACAGTTGCTGTCTGTCATTTAGCCACATCTTTCCTTTCTAGTCGTTACCACCATTTTTCCAGTCACCTAATCTGCTCCAGTGATTCTCAAAAATCATGCTACAAGTTATACATCCCATTCTTTTACTACTACTTGTTAGCTGAGAGATCCCTTCCTGTGCCTCATTTTCCTAATTCATAAAAGCGACCGTGAGTACCTCATAGAATCATCATGAGGATTAAATCAAATAGTTCTTGAAATGTGCTTGGAACAATGCCTAACACATGGTAAGCTCACAGTAAACGATAGCTATTATTATAATTATTATTATTATTACCTATAATGTCCTTTTCCCTTTGTCCAGTTGGCCAACTCTTGTACATTCTTTAAAACCCAGTTCAGACATTAGCTTCTCCAGAAAGAAGGAAGAATTAATAATTTCCTCTTTTATATTACATTGGGATCTTATATAATTTAAATTATTGTATTTTTCACAATGTATTTTAATCTTACATTTCTATATCATTTTTTTCCTGTTGTACTGTGAGCCCTTAAAAGTAAGGGCTGAATATTATTTCTGATGTCTATAGTGTTTACTTTTTCTGGACGGACACTTAGGAGTTTCCACATCTATTTTTAAATCCTGGATCCAGTGATAAAATACTTCACAGAAATAATGATAGAATATTTGGTGTAGGTGTTTGATAATAATAGGATGCTGGCCACTCTTCCTATACACATCCTTTAAATATTGGTGTTTTCAAGGTTTTGTTCTATATAGGACCTTTTTAATTTCTCACTCTAAACACTCTACCTTGGAGAACTCAGCTATTTCTGGGGCCTCAATTTCTGTACAATGGTAACTCCTGAATCTAGCCTAGACCCGGTTTGTTGTCTATTAAGTTTCACTTTCAAATATCCAAAATGTATACCATCAAACTCCCTCTGGGTAAGCAACGAGAACCTTCAACTCAGTATGCCCAGACTGAACTCATTTTAAAAAAATTTCTTAAACCTTTTCCAGCCTCACTGTTACTAACTTGGTTCATGTTCTCATCATCTCCCACCTGAAGTACTACACACTTCTTTAAAAATTATTTTTTTCCTATTAATAAAAAGTAGTACTTTTTCTTTGCAGAAGGGAATTCAGGCAATCCAGGGAATACGTAATTTAGCAGTCCCATCTCCCAGAGATAATCACTGTGTGATGTATATATTCTACCAGACTTTTGCATGCATATATTAACTCATTATTATTATTTTTTTTTAAAGATGACTGGTAAGGGGATCTTAACCCTTGACTTGGTGTTGTCAGCACCACGCTCAGCCAGTGAGCGAACCGGCCATCCCTATATGGGATCCGAACCCGGGGCCTTGGTGTTATCAGCACCGCACTCTCC